ATATCAACACATCACCAAATTATTATTCATTGTAATTTTATAATTGAAACTCATAAAAACAATCAAACAGAAGTTATTTGAATACAATCCAATATGATGAAATAAATATAACTAAAATAGTCAAGTTTTCACTTTTAGTACAAATGCAATCACTAATTCATTATTGTGTTTGTACTTTTTTTTTGAGAAAAAAGTGTTATTCTATTAAGTGTAATTAGAAATTTAGTATAAATGTATTAGTAAATTTAGTATAACTAATTAATAAATTTTATTAGTAGACATGTATAATTATTCATGTAATTGATAATATCAATTATATTACATAAATTACTATACATTATATAATACATCTAACTAATAATATCATTATCATAAGTTTATAACTAATTAACTTACATATTATATATAATTATATATATATATATATATTTTTTGCGGGTGGCGGGGCGGGGGTATACTCCCCTGTCCCCCGCCCCATTTCTAAGCCCCGCCCCCGCCCCACCCCCCGCCCCGAGAGCCCCCCACCCGGGCACCCGCCCCCATTGCTATCCCTAGGTACATTGAATGGTTGGATGTAGGGGAGGCATTCGGATCAATATTGGATTGGTGGGTCAGGTCAAAACTCAGGTACAACGGGAGATTTGCTGACCCGAATACAATTCGTTAATCAATGACATGCTAATATACCTGACTTGAATAAGAAATTTTTAGGTTGGTGGGTCACACGAATGACTCGATATGACCCGAAACATAATTTTAATTTATTAATCTGCCGCTATAATTACTAACAGAACTAATTTCGCACAAGACTAATTATATAATCAAGTAATAAAAATCTCAATAAAAGAATTCCAAACCAAATCTGAAATAAATAAAAATACTGAAAAAGTGTTTTATCCCAAACCAAATCTGAAATAAACTAAGACACTTTAAAAGGTGAAAATAATATAATACATCATTTGTCCAAACATAACAATTCCAACTTCACACAAGTTAAATAAATTTATTTAGAATTAAGTGGTTAATGCCTTTGGAAAAAAAAAAAAGAATAACGTTGTTTAGTTAGATAAATTATTTTTTATATTTATTAAATTATTTTTAATTCATAAATAGGTTATTGGATCAATCCGTGAGTGATCTGAATTCGACCTGTTTTTCAGGTTTGATCCGAACCTGCTCAACCTTAACCTAAACCCATTAATTTTATATTAATTCATATCGTATTTTAAGGTCAAGCCAGAAATTGCCACTCCTAATTGAAAGGTTAGGAACGAGGGAAGGAGAGAAGATCTGGGATAATCGAGAATACAGTGTTAGTTTCATGAAAGATTCACTCTCTTCATAAACAGTAAGAGACAGACTGAGTATTGGCGATCCTAGGTGAGATCGGAAGGGTGATGGATAAAATGTAGATCATCATAGCTACCTTTCATGTAGAATATTGTACAATAGCATCCTTAACCTTAGGAAAATTGCACTGATTTTCCTTATTGCAGGGGTTTGTGTAACACATCAACCCAAGAATTGGAAGACTATGCAATACTATTCAAATACGAATGAGCATAATAATTCAAGAATTGGAAAATTATGCAATACTAATAGAAAATGAAAGGGCATAGAATAGTTAATTGATGAAATAATTGTCCCTTTATTCATGACTACGCGGCTCGCCTTCCTAATGACCCCCAAGCCCTCCACTTGGCTAATCACATTCAGTGTTACTACTTCTGTGTCCTTCATAACCTGAGAATGCAGAGCAATTCTAGCCCATTGAAAATCTAAAAAGAAAGAGATGAGAGCATGAGATTAGTTTACAAAGTAAAGGAGATAAAGATTTAATTTATGACCACAGTAAGTGGGGAGAGGGGGCAAGGGGGGGCCATAAGGAGTGGGAAAGGTGGGGATGTTAGGTTTCTTCTATGCCTCTCTCTTTGAAACCTTTCATCATTATTTTAAGTATAAGGATTTCTGTTAAGGTTATTATGTATATTTTACTCTACAAAAGGGAGGTATGTGCAAATTTCAAAAGGTGTAGGGTACTGCCTAGAATCGTTAAATCCATTAAGGGAGGTTTCTGAAATTATCTTACAAAATAGTGTGTAAATTAGACTAGTGATATTTGTTAGGGATCGCAGCAAATCGAATATTCTCAAAAATCCCTCGTACCAAACTATAACCCACATATCCAAGTTTTTTTTTATTAAACCCTATCGAGTAACCCTATAGATTTTAATTTTCATTACCAAACTCTCTCACTTTTGGATTTAGATTATTCATCGGGTACCCTCTAATACATACATAATGTTAAATGTTGAACTTTGGTAGAGTTATACATGAGAGGAATTCAACATTTTATGAAGGGCAAATGCCTATGCTATATATATATATAGGGTTTGAGATTTTTAAGGCTCTCTTACCAAGCCCTATTGGATTATTCATCGATTACCCCTCATCAATACAATGTCCTAACGGATTATTTATCGGCCATCTAATTGGATTAACCATTGGATCGAGTACTTGCGGGTATCGGATCCTACCCATTACTATCCTTGATATTTGCATTCTAAAAATAATCATTGTACTCCACTTTGATATTCTATTACGTGAAGGAAGATAAGGTGCTAAAGGATTATTTTGGAGTTCAAACATCATTTGCCGTAAATCATATCGAGAAGAGCAAATTATCTGGATGGCCATCAAACTTTTGGAATCGTCAAATTTTAACTATTGAACTATTAAAAGTCTGGTTTTGACCACTGAAATATTTAAAGTTTAGATTTTGGGTCATTTTATTAGATTTTATTGTTAAGCATGACAGATTTGAGTGCTTGCACGATTTGACTAGACAAAATTTGACGGAATGATCCGAAATCTAAACTTTAAATAGTTCGGTGGCCAAAACTAGACTTTTAATAGTTTAGTAGTCAAAACTCGACGATTCTAAAAGTTTAGTGGCTATTCGGATAATTTGGTCCATCGAGAATTATGTTTTTGAAACAATTCTCATCCTTCTCTTTTTAGATTTAGCAGATTTTGTTTATTGCATTTCTTTTAAATGTTTGTCAGGAGGAAAGCTAATAGTATTAATAGCGTACTTTATTATGTTCTAATCAATAAATTATTTTAATTGAAGCATTAGCTTTCTTTTGTAGCTTTTGTTAATGGTTCAAATAATCTTCAACCAATTATGTAATCTCTGTTCAATGATTAAACACCATTTGTTATCGTCTCTCTTTTTTTTAGAAAAAAAAAAAAGCAGCTATGCCCCTTAAATTTAAAGGCCTCAAATGTGGTCAATGCCGCCATTATTAGGCAGAAAAGTGGTGTTAATTATGGGCCGTTTGTTCTCTTCTACAAAAACTATCAGCAATTAATCTTTCATTGTAGTTGGATGTTGGAACTAAAGTAGGTGACGGAGAACACACCTGGACAAATCAAATCCGCACATGTTAAAACTATACCGTACAACGAGTCCTATATAAAAATAAATTAAGCACTAGATATTTAATTGGAAGTGATTGATTGGACCTTCTCTTTGCAGCACAATTTTTTTTTTAATGAGTTGGAGAATTTTCTTGATCAAACTTAATGAGACTTTCTTGGGTTAATTCCATTTTGTCCCCCCAAACTTTGGGCGATTACCCACTTCAGTTCCTAAACTTCAAAATGGGATACTTAAGTCCCTAAACTTATAAATATCTCCTACTTGAATCCCTAAACTTATAAAATGAGACATTTAAATCCCTAAATCCTAATAAAATAGGACACTTCGACCACTAATGGCATTCAGGATTTGTTAACAATTGTCCTTAAGTGGGAGGTATTTATAAATTTAGGGACTTAAGTGTCCCATTTTAAAGTTTAGGGATTGAAATGGGTAATCGTCCAAAATTTGAGGGGACAAAGTGAAATTAACCCGACTTTCTTTGTCTTCCTCCAATGAAGACAACCTTTCCACCATATGAGTTGACCAACCTCTTCGGTATGGTCTCATCCTTATGACTTATTTATTGACTAAAAATCACACCATGAAGGATCGCAATATTGCATGCATCATAAAAGGATGACCGTTGAGACTTGAGTAGTGTTTTTAGACGTATTATAACAGTGCGTCTGCGTTTTTCTGGAACTTGGGGAATTTCGTCGCTACATGCCCGCGTGCAATATGAGTACATGCAAAATTAGAAGACATGTCGCTTTGATGTCTTGAATCAAAATAAGAGATTTAATATTTTACAGTAAAATTTTTATTATCTTCCACGAAAAATGACCAAGCAAATATTAGATTATTGAGGTGAGGTGATTCTTGAGGTTCAGTTGCATGATTGGAATGGCCGGACGGAGATAGAATATGAGATAATTTCTGAATCCTTCCGCATGGTTTGTAAAAACTAGTATAGATAACTTTTTTGATTAATTTTTTCTATATATTCACAGTGTATAACACTGGACGAATGACAACTATGTAAAATTTGAATTTAAAATTCAACTTTTGCACACATGTCATGAATCCAACGATGATAGTGTATACACTGTCAGTGTGTATAAGATTTACTCTAACTTTTTTATATACTTGTTAGTGTAAAGATTTTTTTTTACACAAGTAGGTTTAGATCAATGGCATATAAATTGAATTCAAATTTAAAATTCAAATCATTCAAAACTATTAATATAAAAAATCACTACACTATCAAGATATAAAAAGTTAATCCAAATTATATATGTTTGGTTCCCCGATAGAATTGGAGTTTAGAATTGGAATTGGGCCTCAAATTCCAAATATGTTGTTTGGATACTGCTTCACTCAAAAAATTAAAATTGAATCTGAATCCTATGAATTCTATGGTTTCAATTTCATGAGTTGAATTCAGTAACTAGATCAAAAGAATTCTAATTCCAATTTCACAGCTAAATCTTACTTAAGAAACGGGTTTACACGCGGATCTTGTGGGTAAAAAATAAAAAACGGGTCAACTATGTAAGCAGCCTCTCTCCCGATCTACCTAATCATTTTTCCTCAGCCGCAAGTGCTTCTGCTCTCCGCCTTCACCTCCACCCTAAGTGCTCCGAGTGCTCTCTACTTACCGTGCCTAATTTTCTCCAACTGGGTTCTTCAGTCCGGAAGGTAACAACTAAAAGTTCACTCTTTTTTTCCTTTGCCTTCGATTTTTAACTTTGTAGCATTGAATATTGAATTCTGAATTTCTTTTAGGGGCAAAATCTTTGTACAAGAGATTGATTTGATGTCTTTCTTCAAGAGAATTCTGAATTTCTTTGACTCTGTAATATCTCTCTCTCATTCGCTCACTTTCTCTCTCACACACAGCACGCACTGCTCTTCTCTGTGCTCCGCTCTGCTCCGCTCTGCTGTTGCCTTTTGGCCTTTGGGGGAACTTACAGCTTGCTAGTTGCCTCTGGTGGATTTCAATCTTTTTCTCCGCTTCTCCTTTCTAGTGGCTTCAAGGATAAGCGATTTGGATCTTGGGCTTCTGGTTTTCTCACAGTAAGTTCAAAGGCTGTGCCTTTTCTTCTGTTTCGATGTGATTCTGGGGTTTTTTTTAGCGTTTTAGTGATTTTGCTGGCATTAATGTTTTATGGGTTGTTTCTAATTTAGCTACTTGCTGTAGGTTTTTGTAATTCTGGACTAAATTTATCTTTTACTTTTGAAAAATTGCACTTGTCTCTCTATCTGATACGAGTGTGTAGCATCAACCCAACAATTGAAAACTTGTTTAATAACAGGAAGGGAAGAGGATATAATAGTTAATTGATGAAACAATTGGAGCAGCAATCATTTCCATCATTTACCCAACCTTCATTTGGCTAACCATATCCATTATTACTGTCTCCTATGTCCATCACAATATAAAAATGCAAAGTAAATCAGCTCATTCAAAAACTAGATAAGAGGGAAATAGAACGAAGGAGAGGTGAACGAGTGACTATTTTACAATATCAAGGACAAAGGATTTAATGTAGGACCATTGTATGGTGCTTTGTCCAGTAAGGAGCAAGCAGGGAATTGAAGTTATAAGGAGTTGGAAGAGGTAGAGATTTTAGCTTTTTTGTTTTGATAAAAAGAGAACTTTATTAACAGATTGTTAGAAATTATCTAGCATGATTTGATTTACATAATTACCGTAATGACAATTTAAATATGCATTATAAATTATAAATTTTCAATTCAATATGCACAATGGATTTGAAAAATATAAGAAATTAAGGAATAGAGAGTTTAGGTTTGTCCTGCTTGCCTCTCCTTGGAACCTTGCTATATGTATGAGAATATATGGATTCTATCAAGGTTAATTACCACAAATGATTTGCTCTACAAAGGGAGGAATGCCTAAATTTTAAAAAGCATGGGGAACTGTTTGAAATTTTAAGAAACTTCAACAGAGGCCTATGAATTATTTCTCGCTTTAAATTTAGCACATTTTGTTTGTTATATTGCTTATTTATGCTTGTCAGAAGAAATGGTAATCATTTCAAATCACCTATTAATTTATTATGTTCTGAATTATGATTTTATTTGAACCATTAGCTTTCTTGTGTAGCTTTTAATTTGTTATTAGTTCAAAATGATATCAACCAATCAAGTTGTACCATGTAATGTCTATATTTTTTTTCATAAGAAAAAATCCACTCATCTGTGCTCCTTAAAGGCCTCAAATATGATCAAATGCTAACAATGTTGAATAAGAGCAAGTGGACAAATTAGGGCCACTTGCCCCCTCCTAGTGAGACAAATTATGCACGAGGCTTTATCTACCTATGTAGTAAAAGCATGAATGGGTTTGTTAAGATGAATGGTTGCTGTGCTGACGTGGTTGAATGGGATTGATTCAAGCATGGTCGTCTATCACGAGGATCTCACGTGCTGAAGCTGAAGAGAAGAATTGGCTTGTTATCTTCCTTCTCCCGTCTCTTCTCTTTTTCGGGCAAGTCTCCCGTCTCTTCTCTCTCTGGCTTCTCTGTTTCTTCTCCCCCTCTCTGTTCCTTTTTTATGCCTGACAATCACCGCAATTTCTTCCTTATTTTCACTGTAGATTTCTTCCTTTTATCAGTTATTTGTACTTGCGGACATGAAACCCACAAATTTTTCCATAGATTAGGTGTACACTTTTACCCTAGAATTCAGGGATTTTTTGCCCAAAAAATGGCCACTCGTCTGATTCACTAAGCCTGTACGTACCCTTATTTCTCAACCTTCAGATCTTTGTCAACAATTTCTGACTCTCAATTTTACTCTCTCGGCTTCGATTTGATGGCTGCTTAGTAAGAGGGAAGTAGAATCAACATTAAAAACCGGAGGAATAGAAAAGGGCACTTGAGGTTAGAGGCTTTATAGGATATACATCTTATTTCATTTTCTCATAGGTGAAAAGAAAAATAGAGAGGTTTCTTGCCTTTTGGTGTATTCCTCTATGGTAAAGAAAAATTTAAAACTTGTTTGCTTTTTTCCTCTTTGCATGGCAGACACACGAATGCTACACAATTAGTGTTTGGTTTTTTTTTTTTTTTTGGTATTTTCAGCTTTGTTTGGAAAGTGGAAAATCTTCGCAAGTGGTTTGGTGCCTTTTGTTCCCTTGCATCCTGGTAAACACATTTCTTGCCATTCTTTTTTTTCTTTACTTTTTTTGCACCACGAACATATATACTGATCAGTATTTTTTTTTTGTAATTTTCTGCTTTGGTCCGAAAATAGAAAAGGTTTTGCAGTAAAATTTCCATTCATTCCAGGTTGGTTTACCTCTGATTTGTATCATTAATTTGGTGAAATTTTTGTTAATATTATATGGGCTGATATTTTAAATATTTTAATATTAGTGTTATGTGCCTCTATGTTTGGCTATTTACTCTTATGATAAGTTTTTGCTTATGCTTCTTAAGAAGATATAGCTGCGCTTTACTGGTTTTATGTGGTATATAAAGGCATCGAAATATTAATTAAGTATATTTTAAAAAACATTCTTATTGGCCAAAAAATTAGTGATTTTTCCCCCCAATTTATGCTTGCCCTTCCAATTTGCCTTCTATGTACACTATCTCATCTCCCAACCATGCAATTCTTTTTTTTCCCAGAAAAATGAGAGAATCAAAGAGGGGAAAGCACTATACAGCTCCCCTCCCCACCGCTATTTGCCTTTCTAGCCAAAAACACGAAGAAAAGCTCAGACTTTCACATCATTTTCAGCCATTTGATGAATTTATTGTTGAGTTTTTCTAGCCTTTTTTTTTTTCAAAATTGACGTCCTAGCAGAAATGTTTGCTTTTGTTATTATTGATTGTTTTGTAAGTTTGAAAGAACCAAGAAGAAGCACAGCAAAGTAAACATCCAGTGTTTAAGGTGTGCGATCATCTCTTACAATAGTAGCATGCTTTGTATTTGATGATTTGCTTCTAAAGGTAGCTTTACCACTACACTGGTTTAGTTTTCTGAAAATTTACATGTCCTATTGTTATGGAGGATTAGATGATTTGAGAGATGTTTTTTAGCTTACTCTTTGGTCCTAAACAAAAATGATTTTACTTTTGCCTTTGTGTGTGTATGCTGAATGATCCTTTAATGTCTTGCAATGGCTCGAACTATCTTTAAATTCCATTGGAAACAATACTTTGATAGACCTAGAAACATTACTTTCATCGATTGTTTTTGACTTTTACTGCATTGTCATGTTAGTGACTATCATAGTTAGGACCAAAGACCAGTTAAAGAGTATTTGCCCAGCTTCTACTGTCTTGGTTCTAATTTTCCACATGTTTTGGGGCTCAACAAGTAGAATCTGCACTCAAATCATGAGTTGTTTGATATAACTTGGTTTCTGCTTAAATTTTGCTTTGAGGACCTGGTCATGCACTGATTAAGCCCTGGCACAGATAAGCACTGCTGAATTTAATGCCTTGGTTCATTGAAAGGGTATTGTTCAATGGACGGATCCTAACTTGGGGGGACAAAGACTTTTAACATACCTCAGTCTTCAATTATTTTGCAGCTTCCTTGTTACATTAGTTTCTCTAGTTTTGCACATGGACATGGCCATTGCTTTAATTACCCTACTGCTATAATAATTTGCACATGGACATGGTTTCTCAACATGACGACAATTAAGATCTTCATGTTCTATTAATTTTAAAAATGAGAGTTATAGGGAATTTTCCAATATTTTTTACACATCAAATTGGGCCTGAAAATTTCTAGTTTTCACTGAGAAATACACAAATACACATCTTCTTCCAGATATCTCCAAATACTGAATGATCCAAAAACATGGCCATGGACTGGGTTGATTGTGTCAATCAGACATTGTCTCTGTGTTGATCTAGGTTAGACTAATTCATCCATATTATTTTCCTATAAAGACTTCCTTTTCTACATTTTTATCTTCTGAGTTTTTAACATTCTGAAACATTCATTCAGAATTTTGGAAATAATGTGAAAATGGCTCTTCCATTGAAATTTATTTGGGTAATTAGAAATGCTTCTGGTATTATTACTTTTTACATGCTTTTCCTTCTGAATAATTTAATTTTTCCTTTATAGATCTAGATTGGGTTAATATTTTTCTTAGTTCGGCTAGTTGTTCAGATCTCTTCTGATTTTGAAAGTATTTTTAATAATGTATTTTTCATGTATTTTTACTACTACAATTTACTGGATGTGTTCTCCTAAATCTGGTTTTTATGAGTTTCATAATTCTTCCTGTAGTTTTGATTTTGTGGTACTTACAAGATATGTTTTGAGATCTAAATCAATTTTATATTTTTCTTAGTTTGAACAGTTCTTTCAAGATCTTTGATACTTTTTCTGTAATGTATTCTCTTGTATTTGGTTCTTATGAGTTTCTTAATTCTCCCTGTATTTTTTGTTGATTGTGTAGTTTTTATGAGGTACCTTGTGAGATCTAGGTTGGGCTTTTATTTTTCTTATTTCGATTAGTACTTTAAGAAATGTTTTCAAATCTGTTGTAATTTTTATTTTTCCTTGAAATGTATTGCTAAGGTTTTTTCTGCTACCTCTGATCCAGCGATCTTGTACCTTTTCTGGTGGTTCTACTGCTACTACACTTTCTAACTATGAATTTTCTTTCATTGTATGTGTTGGGTTGCATATTTTCTGGTCTGGCTGACTTCTGATCAACCACCGTTTACCTCTTCTTCATCAGACCGGAATCCAGTTTAATGGTAGTTTATCTATAATACAAGACGGAGCCAAAAAAGGATTACAAGAGACGAATTTCTCAGCCCACGAGTGGATGGAAAAATGGTTTATCACTCCAACTTTGTTGTTGATGAAGGGATTGCCAAAGCTTGTGGATGCCCTCTTCTTCCTCTAAAAAGTCATATAAAGGGACCTGCTCCAGCATCAGATACCACTGACATTGTTGATGAAGCAATATCATTTTTCAGAGCTAATGTCTTCTTCAAGAACTTTGACATCAAAAGTTCAGCTGATAAGCTTCTTATCTATTTGACATTATACATAAATGTGGCTTTAAAGAAGCTAGAGGGCTGCAGAACTTTGGCTGAAGGAACGAAGGCAATTATTAACCTGGGTTTGGAAAAGGTTCCTGTGCCTGGAGAGTCTGGTTTTCCCTTTCCAGGGTTATTTACGCCACCACAATCTCAAAAAGAGGCAGAGCTGTTCAGAAATTATCTGAGGCAAATTCGCGAGGAAACAAGTGGAAGACTATTGAGTGTTGCATACAGGCACAACGGGACTCCTAACAAATGGTGGTTGGCATTTGCAAAGAGAAAGTTCATGAATATTAGTAATCCATGAGGAAGTGGCCCGCCCCAGTATTTTGATGTTCCCGAGTGCAGCTCAATTGTCTGCATCCCCTGCCTATGTCCTGTAAGCATTGGACAACAACTTTGCATAGAAAGACAATGCAGAATCTTTGTGTTTATGTTATCATTTTTCAATTTTGACATTTCTGTCAGCACAACTGTTGGATGAAGATATCACCAAAAAAAAAAGAAGTATGTGTTTTCTTCTAGCTAGCTCCTTTTTTCCCAGCTTGGCGATCTGTTTCAGTTTCAGCTTTTTTTTTTTTTTCTGTTGTTTATTAAATGTGGGATTCTTCTGTAACTAGATATGGTTAAAGAGTTTACGTACTGCAGAACAAGCTCATCAAAAATTTGCAAGTTTCTTGGCTTTGTACGACAATTAATTTGTAATTTGTGTAAAAAAAAATTGTAATTTATGTGCTTTGCTGTGTAATTAATGTGCTGTTGGGAGGAAATTTCCTGTATAATTACCAGCATTGCGGGTTTCCTTTCTACAAGGTCAATGAGCCTAAACAGCACTATGATTTATGAGAAGGCAATTGAGATGCAATACTCTCATCATATTCTCACGAGTGTGAGAACTACTTTACAGAGAGGGTTCATCAAACAAAACTGCAACAAACAACTCGTAATTAAAGGGATTGCCTCTTTTATGTCTTTCTTTAAATTTTGTTTTATTATTTTTTAAATGTTATTAGTTATTCTATAATATTTTATAATTTTATTTTATTAACTTGTGTTTTATATGAGTTTAATAGAATATCTATCATAAGTATGGATAAGGTTCTTAAATTTTCGTGGCTCCTTTCGGTTTTGCGCCCGCATTGATGGGAAACACTTTCACTTACTCTTAAGCATCAATTTACATATGATAGAATTATTACTAAAAATTGTTCTTTCTTGTTATTGGGACCTGTTTGGTTTAGTTAACCACAGTATACATGCTAAGGCGAATAGACAGCAGAAGTTATTTCTTTACAGAGTTACAGAGGAAAGGTATGGTAATAATTCTCCACTGTTATTATTCATCTCACGGTCCATCAAAGTCTTTTGGTTGCAAGCTTTTGCCTTTATCTTGTTTTACTATCCTATGCTCACGTGCAATTTTTTGGTTTTTGATAATTTCACTCGACTCTCTTGAGATTTACATAATTATGAGGACCTCTCTTGATATGATAAAAAGATAACAATGTCCTTCATTAATTGTCAATTCGTTGAATAAAACTCTATCAAAAATTAAAAAGTTTTCTCATCTATTGTCAACCAATAACTCAAATTACAATCTTTTCCAATTAACACTTTATTCTCTTCCTCCTACATCTATTTTACTTTCAAACTCATTTATTTATTTTTATCGACCAAATGTACACCGTCACCATTAGCAAAGCCACCATATATACCAATCATTAGTGGCTATCTATCTTGGTGTCTATTCCTAATTCTCTCTTTTTCATTACTATTAAATAGTTTTTTGTACCCATTTTTGTTTTCAATTTTTGATAGGCATTAGCAAAATGAAATTTTCAAATGATGAGTGATGACTTCGTTATCAAACTAGATGGGGACGAAAATAGTGGTAGTGGCAAAAAATAAAAAATGAAGACTATGAAGTGGAATAAGAACTAAAAAAAGATTATACTGTTATAGTTGTTATGAAAAAAAAGTGTTTCTTGTATATTTATAACTATATTGTGTTTTTATTTTTGATTTGCAGTTATTAATGATGTTATTCCTATAGAGAGAATTTGATTGATTTTGAATTTTGTGCGAATGGAGTATATTGGATGTTGATATTAGTAGTGGTGGCTTAACTACTAATTTAGGGATATTGATCAATATTATTGTTTATTAGGTAAAATCTAACATTGATATGAGATTGTAGGCAAGCTTTTGGGTATACGATACTGCGTTTGTAGTTGATACCATGGTCTGCATGAAAAATTTTTAGGTAAAAGTTGGACATTAGAACAAAGGCAAGTGTTTAATTAGTGGTGGTTTGAATATTGATGGATAGACAACAGTGATATCGAGTAAGGATGAATGAAATAGAAACAATGAACCATTTTTTCCTTTTTATTTTTGTTGTGAATTAAAACCTAAGGGCATTATAGGATTTCGATAAAAAGTCTAGCCTCAAATGTTAAGATTTTAATATTAAATAATTCGGTAGCTTAACAAATTCAGATTTTGGATTTCCATTTTATAATACACACCCTTAATGTTTTTTGGCTTAATCTTTTGCATCTGAAGAGATAAGATTTGCTTTCTTAGGTTGATTGCCAACTGTTTTTTTTGCTAATTTTGTCCACTTAGACACTAAGAGCGTACATTTTTCCTTTTGAAGATTATAGTTTTCAAATGTAAAGAAGCATTGCAAAGTTACTACTGCGTATGACATCAATTCCTATGATTTGCATGGTTGAAAGTATTAATTCGAGTGTTTAGACGCTGATTGGACTGTACAGCAGGTTAATTAATAGAGCAATTAAAGAGACGTATACTATTCGCCTTTTTTTGTTTGTGCGTTCTCTTTAATTGTCCTTTCTTCCACTCATTCCTTTGTAAATATTATGAAGGCCTCAGACATTTTATTATGCATACCAGTTTACACCACCGCCCACCGCCTCCCTCCTCCCCTATACCTCCATTGTTGCCCCTTCCCTCTTCTCTCCTCCCTCTTGGAATTTAAAAGATAATAGAGGTATCTTTCTTTTAAAGTAGTGATTAAATGATGGGAGGAAGAGTTACCTATTAATTGCTCAAAATTAACAAAAAGGTCAAGGAACCAATTTATTTAACAATTAATTATAAAAAAAATAATAAACTAACATTCCAAAAGAGAGAGAGGAAGTGCGCACCCATTATGTTGCATCCCTTTTTTCTTGGACACTTGTACCTATATATATGAGTTATCATTTTCTTTTCCTTAGAGTCTCACTTTTGATGTCCTATTTAGATTTAGATTTGCATCCATGTAAGAAATATTCAAATGTGATAAATTTAATGGTTAGATTAAGAAAATTTTGGCTAAATCTCGCAACTAGTACAAGGAAAACGATTTATAAAAGTGTGACAACACATATTCTTAAATTATGTACTAGGTGATATACAATATTCTTCATTATAAAACTTAGAATAAGACAAAGGAAATCAGGACAAGTTCAAACTATATGGTGCCAGTCATTTGTGAAAATGCCTATAAAAAATTTCCTATATAAATGAAGCATGCAATACTGAATTGGAATGATCCCCTTTGGAGTTGCGGTGCATTTACGAAAAAAAAAAAAAGCACTTTTAAGTACTAAAAGTACTTCTAGGGTGTTCAGTAACTAATTTTTCATAACTTAAAGGAGTTCAATTTTTAATAATTTAAAAGCACTTTTGTCAGAAGTGTTTCTCTATAAGTTACAGCAACTTTAAACAGGGCTTGATTAGAGTTTTTCTGCAATAACTTTCTTATTGAGGTTATGGAGATTAGAACCAATAGGCAAGAGCAGTAGCAATCCCTGTCCCTCAAGGTTGGCTTGGCTGGTGATAGGGTTGCCTCATTAGGTCTTGGCACCCTGTGGTTACGGTTCGATTCCTTCTATCATTTTCTGTATCTTGAGAGGCGGGTGCACAGGCGTAAGGAGATTAGTCCGAAAGAGATACTCCCTGGTGATGACAAAAAAAAAAAAACTTGGAATGTAATTGAAGGTATTAGTTTAGAGTTAATTTTATATAATGATGGTGTGTATATTATCATCGTTAAATACATAATTTTACATAGAAAATTTAAATTTAAATTATTTGTCATGTATCTGACGATGATGATGATGATATATAAACTGTTATAGTATATAAAAGATTAATTCTTAATTTTAAGGTTGAGCACAACTCTATAACGTGACAAATTTGTAGCTTAGCATTGAAGTAGACGAAAAGATTCCGGATTTAGCTTTTAGCTCTAGTTGTTATGCTACGTGTATATACTTAACGAAGATATCAATGAAAACCTAATACCATGGAATCTTTTTAAAGAATAAATTGCATAGACCTTTTCAAGAAGGATTTATCATAATTAGAATGGAGAATCCATCCAAGGTTTGTTTTGTAATTTAATGTGTTATGTATTTTGGATATATTATGGAAGCTTGTGTTGTGGATGTCTAGATGGGGAGCTCTTTGAACAAGAAACACTAGGGCCTTGTTTGGAACCCAAGTTTTTTGTCCAGTTTGTCTGCTACAAGTTTTTTAAAAATTTTAGCTACAGTAACCTCAAAAAATTTTTCAAAGTTTATAAACTGTACACTTCAAAATATTCAAAACTCTACACAGTTCAAAAAATTACCTTTTGCAACATAATTGAACTGTGTAGAGTTTTGAATATTACACAGTTCAAAACTTCTACAGTAAACTACAGTAAAATTTTAGATAAACTTCCAAAAAACTCACCTTTCAAACAGGGCTTAGATTAGCTAATAAAATGTTAATAATGTCAATGAAATTAGAATTTTAAAGTGTGTGTGTGTGTTTACATTTCAATCTTGTTTCACCCGTTATGAAATTGATTTTGAAGAGGGGAAAGCGTGATTTTAGGGAGCACTTTATTGATTCCCTTGCAAAAAAAAAAAAATAAAGGAAAAAAAGGAGGGAAAGAGAGAACAAAAAAGGATTTGCACTTGAAATGCTTATTATATTAGCACAAAATAGGTTTTGCATCATTTTAATGTACTCGTTTTTTGAGAGACATTATTAACTTTACTTCTCATACTTGCATTAGGGGTATACTTTAAGTGTGCAAGGAGTAATATAAAACATTAATTCGTGACTTTTATAAATACTTCTTCAGTCTATCAAGATGACTACTTTATTACTTTTTCTTAAACTTATACAATGATACCTATAAAGTTTCAAGGTACAAGTTAAAACCAAGAAAGCAAGAATAAAAATGAGAAAGGTGTTTCTTAATAATTTTGTCCTACTAAAAATGCTCTAGTTTTAATTTTATACTAATACCCTTAAACCCATCTTGTGAAGAATGAAAGAGAAGCGTTAAATGTGCACCATTTCGCAATAAATATGCCCAAAATTACACTTTTTTTGTTCTAGTTCAAAAGAATCGAAAGTCTTTAAGCGCGTGTTTTTTGCAACAAATAATTATGTTTGGATTGCAATTTTTTCTTTTGAAAAATTGTTACGTTTTCCGTAGACACATATTTCAGTCATCTTTTTATTTTACATATATCAAGTTACTATAGTAGCTTTTCTTCAAAAAGTCCAGAAAATGCAATCCAAACAAAGCTAGTTCAAAAGAATCAAAAGCTTTAAGATTCGAATCAGAATTCGTGTTTTTTTTTTTTTTTTAAATATACCTACAA